CTGGAAACATAGGGGTCCTGAATGGTATTGTGTGCAACTTCTTGCTACTGACATGTATGCCATTTCTCAAGCAAAAAGCTAACATTTCTGCTGAGAATTCACATATTTCACAATTAAGTGCTTCTATTTCTCTGTTCTTATTTTTTGTCATGATAATATGAATTCTTTGCATTTCATATATGTGAAGTGTTATTGAGCTACTCATTTAGCAAGAAAAAGAGTTAATGTCCATGTTATGTGCCCAAGATAGCTTTACTAGTGGAACTTGTACATATGCATTTTTGCTGAGGTTATTTAAGCTGTCACATTACAGAGCTAGCATGAACTTGACCTTTATATAAAGAATCATAAACTTTTTTTCTGCTCCTGTTGAGGCTTACCACAACACAACTCCCCTCCATGGCAGCAAGCATTCCCTTCGCCCCCACCCTGGGGTGCAGGCAGGGGAAGGTCCTGGGACATTGGCATGGGGGTATATAGGTAGGGCAAAGATGCCTTCTCCATACTATCCCACATAATAAGTAACTGTGTCTCACAGTTTCCCGAGCCATCTATGTCCTCTTGTCTTTCAAGCAGAGGGACTCCTGCTTTTAATCCTACTTGTTACCATGTCTTGTAGAGACTGGGGTTGTGGAATGGGAAAAGAGAGACTAAAAAGCATTTATTAAGGGTTTCCTGCTCACCTCCCTGCTGGATGTTTACATGTTTCTCAGCAAAAAGAACAAGACATTGTGCTCTGCAAGATCACAGATCTTAAGGTCAGATTGCAAGAGGCAGCTCAACAACACTTCTCAGCGAACAGATTATGAGCACTTATTAAGAACAGAACATGACAGCACCGGCCCAGGATTTAGTAGGTGTACCAATTCTGGGCAACTGAATCCCATAATCATTCATAGTGAAATGAAGTCTGACTCAAAGACCAGCAAAAGGCTCTTCTCTCACTTCAGTCCTACTTCTGCCTGCAAACTGAGGCTTGAGGACAATGTGAACCAGCCACCCCAATCAAAGCAGTTCAGTGAGAGGGAGGGAGCAACCACTTGTATGGATGAAAGAATAGCCCAAACTCTGCAGTCAGGTCTGTACTTCTGCTGAAGCTGCTATAGGAACAAGAGCTATAATAATGATTTTTGATATGTAGATTATATTTGAGCTTCTCCCCCTCCCCAAACAATTAGCCAAGACTGTCATGCATTTCACACAGACCTCTCTCAGGTTATCAGATAGCAACTGCATTTGGCCATTAGCAGCTTGAACTGGTGTTGAAATGTTAACAGCATCCCTAGAGATTACAAATCCAACATCAGCTGGATCTGAGCAACTACTTTAATGCTTCCCAGCTCCTGTCCAAATCCCATATGCAAAAAGGTGTCCTTACATTTAGGTTTTTAATAACAAAGGTATAGGAAGGGTTCAAGGAGGAGAGAAACTAGCAGGTGTGCAAGAAGATTGATTCAGGGCCCTCTGGAGGAATCTCAGTCCACACCAGTCCCTGGGACCAGATGGACGGCTTCAAAGGGTGCTAAGAGAGCTGGCTCTTGTGACTGTGAGGTCACTCTCTGTCATCTTTGAAAGGTCATAGAGATCAGGAGAGATCTTGCATTACTGGAGAAAGACAGACAATGCACCCACCTTCAGAAAGGGCAAGAAGGACTATGCAGGGAACTACAGAGAAGTCAGCCTCACATCAGTCCCTGGGAATAACATGCAGCAAGTCATCTTGGAAGTCATTTCTGGGCACATGAAGGAGAAGGTAGAGAGTGGGAATAGCCAGCATGGATTTACCAAGGATAAATCATGTCTGACCAACCTTATTTCCTCCTGTGATGAAATGACTGGATCTGTGGGTGAGGGGAAAGCAAAGGATGATGTCTACCTTGACTTTAGCAAGGCATTCAGTGTGGTATCCCACAGAATCCACAGAATCCTTATATCCAAGATCAAACCTTATAGTCTAGAAGGGTGAAAAGCTGGATGGATTGCTGGCTGAAATGGTTATTGCTAATAGTTCTTACTCTATGTGGTAAGAGGCCAGTTACTAGTGGAATTTCTCAGAGGTCTATCCTGCTTGATATCTTTATCAGTGACCTGGAGGAGACAACAGGATACACCCCTATAAGGTCTGTGGACTGATTATGCCGTTCAGAGCTACTTCCACTTGCTAGAAGACTAGGCCAACAGGGACCTTATGAAATTCAGCAAGGACAACCTCAGAGCCCTGCACATGGAATGGCCTAGCCCCCTGCAAGGTTTAGGCCAGAGCATGACATGGGGGACCTTCAGGTACGCTAAAAATGGCAAACCCTGGCAGCAGTGAAGGTACCTTGGGCTGCTCCACCATCCGTGCTGCTGTTGATACAAGGGAATTGATCATTCCCCTTTACTCAGCACTCATTAGATGACATCTGGAATAGTGTGTACAGTTTTGAGTCTTCCAGTATATGACAGTTGTTGAATGAATCTGCTGGAGGGCCACCAAGGTGGCTGGAGGTTGAAGCATGAGACTTAGGAGGCGAGGCTAAGGGAACTTGGTTTGTTCGTCCTGCGGCAGGGAACAGCAGCCTTCCAGGACCTAAAGGGGAGGTTACTGAAAAGGAGGAGCTGGGCTCTTTGCTAAAGAATGGAGGGATGAGGGTCATAAATGAACACGGGAGGCTCTGGCTAGATATAAGGAAATAATTTGACACTGCGGAGATAATTAGGCAATGGAATAGGTTGCCCAGAGAGACTGCGCAATCTCCACACACAGGTTTTCAACACCCAACGGGACAAAGCCCGAAGCAACCTGGGCTGGGTCAGATGACTTCCTACTGTCCCTTAAAATCTGAATTATTTATTTTATGGTAACTCTCAGGGTAGATTTTCTCCCTCTTCTCTGTAGAATTTTCTCCATTTAATACAGTTTATATCAGTCTACATATTGAAAGTCATTGCATATGCTGCTGTTCACCCCACAGACCAAGAGTATTACAAAAAAGTAGGCCCCCTAAATGTTAGCTCAGCAAGATTTAAGCCAATTTGAGCAAAAACATCAGTAGACTAGATGCGACAACATTTTTTATTATATTTAATACAAGTGAATAGATTTAAGAGATCTGAAATGTTGTAAAGCAGTATACATACTGAATAAATAATATGCACAGGAGAGTCATGTCTACCTTATAACACTGGCTAGTATTCAGAATACTTAAAATAAATCCAGTGACATTGGATAAAGTCCATAAAAATGCTATCCTGTCTTCCCTTGTATGAAATTGTTCAAGTATAAAAAAAATCCAATACAGTGTAAAATATTAAATTCCATTTCGGTCAAGAATAAAAATTGCAAGTACTGTAGTTTCACAGGACAACGTAAAGCAGCATTTTCTAGCAAAGGGAAAAATAGTCAGTCTACGTACAGATGAGTGAGAAAACTGCACTAATGTATTTGAGAGGTCTACATGAAAAACTATGAGAGGGAAAAGAATGAAGTAGCAATATTTTATGTAAAAACCTAAAAAGGTGTTAATTTAAGAGTACCCTCATACAGTGCACATACTGAATTTAAATAAATCCAAGTCAACATCCTTAGTTAATTAGGTTAATATTTAATATGCTACATCTAAACCTACTAAATAATTTATGCCATGAGATGAATACATAATTTTACAGTGTCACATCTAAAGTTGCTTTCTTTAGAGCGCAGCATAGTAAAACTTTCAAAATAAATATTTCTTTTTAAATAGCATTACAATTAAGGCACAGTATAAATCACATACCATTAACCCTTGAAGAACTGCAGTCTTGGTAACAAAAGTTGCCTTGTGTACTGTATGTTTGCTAATAAATACTTTAAATATAGTCCTGAAATAGATATTAAAATTGTACAAATGGTTTCCAAAAAAAAAAAAAAAAAGAGAGAGAGAAAAAAGGAAATTCCCTTAAAACAGTTCTTAAAGGTTTAAATTCATCAAGCTTCTTCCTGCCTTTATTCACAAGTTATGAATAGCAATAAATAGAAAGAGAAGGCTGTTGTAGTAAAGGGCTGATCCTATTTTAGAATCAGAAGAGCTGACACCAGCAGTTAAAGTTTCCCAAAAGTGAAACAGGATGGGGCGAGGGATTAGGATGTGACAAGCTCATCACATGAGCGCGAGTGATGTGTTCTTTCCAGAACGGTCTGTGTTATTGATTGTCGCTACAGCTGCTGCACCCGTTCCTTCCACATCACTTGCTCCACAGCTCCACTCGGCCAGAGGACAGAGGAGAAAATAACTTTGGTGCCTGTCTGCCATCTTACTAGCAGGCCATCCTCAGCTTGCTCGATGCCCGTTAATGCACCGGCGAGAAGGTATTGCCTCACTTAAGACCACTTCTGTAGGCCATGCTGAAAGCTAGAAAGGACAATCAGTACTTTAAGCTCATTTAGTCGTAAAATGGAGAAAGATTACGTATTGCTGACTCAGTTTTTTCCCCTGGTTCAAGCTTTTCAAATACCATTTCCTTACTCATAAAGGCAGTTTTGTTTCCCTGATACTGTAAAAAATACACCTTTGCTTTTTTGTTTTTTTTTGCTGTTTTTTTAAACTATGAAGTCTCATTGCTACTCCTGCCACTCTTTCATGACAGTACAGTATTTTTTCCCATTTTCTTCCAGATTGTTACTTGAAACTACACATCCCACACTACCCCTCCCCTCTAACAATATGGTTTGGATGCATACTGTATGAAGACAGTGGAATAAAAATCTTTAGTTTTGCAATAGCATTGCTTTCCTTAAAGCTCCTTAGTTAATATTAATTGTCTCTTATTAGCTACTTATATTGGAAGGCTGAAAAGAGGAAGAGAAAGAAAGAGCTTCCTTCGGGAGTTCATCTGCTATTGCATACGGTCCGTCTGCAGCTGTTGGGGCTGGTACTGGCCAAAGGCCGCAGCCGC